TATATCGAACGCGTTACAAAAAAAGTTTGAAAGTCAAAGTATCTTCTATGACATATCACAAAGCCTTCAATACATATTTAGCACTTGATGTCTAGAAAGCCTATGAAGTTTCATAGTCCGACTATGGTCGCACACTTCAACGTGGTGAAGAGTCTAGATGTAACCATCAATCATGGGACTTAAATTGATATGGTATTGAATTCTTTATGTGATAAGTTTTCATAGTTTATAGTGGACTATCAGTTGCACAAGATGAATATTCCATTAATGGAGCTGCTGATTGAGTTACTATATGTCGAAAGTGGCCTTAAGGGTAAAGTTGGCAATGCTTACGCAACAACTGGTAGATCCTTTAGTTCTAAGACAAAAGGTGTATTTGGAAAGGAGGAAAAAAAACTACCAAAAAGCATGAGAGCAACAAAAGGCCCAGAGAAAATGGAAAGTCGAGAGACAAGTGTTCCAACTATGGTTGAAAAGGATACTCAAAGAAAGACTTCCCAGATACTCTCCCTATAAATTAGGAGAGGATGAGATTTTTCATTACCGAGTTGTTTAGTGGTCAAAATTGTATGTTGATACGGGTGCTTTAGGAAACTAGAAAACTGAATGAAGACCAGTTTAAAATTACTTTGGTACTGAAGCAAAAGTTTCAACTAGAGTGTAGGAGCATTTTGTTTTTATTTGAGTAGTGGTAGACGTTTAATTCTTAAAGACGTTATTATGTCACGCGAATAAAATGAAAATTTGATTTCTATTTCTGGTTTCATAGGATAAGGTCATCCTACAAAATGGGCATCTAATGCGTTTTATGTCTTAATGAATAAAGTTCCTATTTGCTATGGAAATTTGATGAATTGCCTTTATACTTTAAACTATTCCACATTTGAAAATCAAAAGTTACTTTTATAGACCATAAACAAAAGTCGTATAATACTAGTTCATTCTGAGTTGTATGGACACATGAATGCACCTACGAAAGGAGCTATGAGTATTACTTTACAGATGATTACTCTATGTTCAAATATACTTACCTAATTGGTTGAAAGTTAGATTTTTTTTGCGAAATGAAAAGATTATTGGATTGAGGTCGAGGAAAAATTTAGGTAAAACCATTGAGACAATTCTTATCAAATCGAGGTAATATAACATATATCTCTTGGGAGAATTCAGGGACTACTTGACATAAAATGGTATAGTTTCTTAATTGAGTGCATCTTGTACACCCTGCAGAACGACGTTTTGAAGGGAAAAATAAGACATTATTGGATATTATCAAGTCAATGATGAGTTTCATAATTCTACCTATCTAATTTTGAGGATATGCACTCGAGAGAGCTTATGTGTTCTTAACTTAGTTCTATCTAATTATGTTACCAAAACTACCCTATAATTGTTGGATATGCACAAGTCTAACTACATCACATTCGAATTTGGGATGTACAAATTGTATGCTGAATGAGAAGATAGAAAAGTTGGAGTCTGGGTAGAAAATGTATGTTAGTGGAATACCCCAAGGATACTATAGGATATTATTTCTATAGTCGTCTAGGTAGGAAGGTCTTTGTTGACTCAAATGTAACCATCCTTGAGGATAAATATATTAATGAAGGTCAATCTAAGAGTAAGATTATGCCGGAAGAAATGAAAGGGGGCAATTTTACCATATCGATCCCTCAACATTGCCTGGACATAAACATCCTTGTTGGGAAATTTCACACCAAT